TATTATTAGAAAGGTAACAATTGTATGTATGGTTGCTGAATACAATAAAAATAAGATCTTATTATAAAAAACTATGGCTAATTAAAAAAAAAACTTAACTATAATGTTGTTGAGTTTATATATAGTTTTGTTATTTCTGCAAACAGCAAATATTTTCAATATCCACTTTCAATATATGTATTACAACAAAAACTTAAAGAAAATAGTCATATATTTCAAAATGAACATTAGTACTTCATATACTTACTTTACCATTGTAAACTACAATTAATCAAAGAAGTTTAGTCTACTGTATACATACTGCCCAAATTATTTTAAAATGCTATAATTATAATTTAAGATGCTATAATTCATTCAATTTATATATAATTTACTATGTAAAGTATCAAAATAATTTGGGATGCTATAATTATTTGGAATTTTACTTATAATTATGGCAGCCTAAAATAATTTGAATGGTATGTATAGTTTACTGTAAAAGGTGTAGTTATTAAAGCCAGTCTTTATTTTAATCTTTTCGCTATTAGATACAAATTATTATATGCTTTTAAGAAAAAGATTACTTCTAAAATTACAGTTGGGTTTTAGAAAAAATGTCTTAATAAGACGAAAAAATATAAATATTTATGTAATGATATGAAAATAAAAATAAAGATTCTGAAGTTGAAGAATTTGATGAATTATATAGGCTGATTTGTTTTTTTTTTTATTAAAAAGAGTTATTGAATTGATTTTCACAATTTTTGTTACTCAAAATTGTTTTGTAATACCAAAAAATCATCTGATTGATGATCACTTGACTAAATAATAAGTTGAACAAAAATTTACATTTGCGAAACTAAATTATTAAATATAAAAAAACTGTGAAAACCCCCATTTCACTAATAAAAAACCCATTTCTCATATATATGGAATTTTTAACATATATTATTAAAAAGTAAGTATATTTTAATAAGAAATTTACTACAAAAAACCACTGGTGGTCACCACCAGTGTCACGTGTTTATTATTTTTATTGATAAATTAATAAATTATTAGCTCCCTTGTTTATTGTTTAATATGTATTTATGCGGTTAGCAGTTTCTTAATTAGTATTAACGCGTAATAGTTTAGCCGTTTATGTTGAGTATTACGTCACAAAATAAAATATTGCTGTGGTTTGCTTCGCTAAAACAATAGTAGCTTCGTGTCATATTGTATCGCTTATTGTTTCGCTGCGGCTTGTATTCTGTCATATATCCACGAAGCTCCCCGTATTTTTTTCTTTACTTCTGTTTGATAGTTTACGCTGGACCATTTCGATCAAGTTTCATAAAAACACACCAACTGTTCTGTTTGGTGACTGTTATATCCCACCTTTCAAATTATCTAGGAACCATGCCAAATGGTTCATTTCTACAAAATAAAAAAAAAGAATGTTAGCAAAATGTTCTTATACTAAATTATTAAACACAATACTCCCACCTATAACCCACCTTTAAAATCGCCTAGAAGTTGTGCCAAATGGTTCATTCCTACAAAAATAAAAAAGAAGAACATTAACTAAACATTTTTATACTAATTTACTAAATATTACCACTACACTACCCCATCCACCTTTGAAATCGCTTTAGAGCTGTAACCAAAAAGTCCGTTTCTACAAAATAAAAAAAACAATTGGTTAGTATATTAAAAATAAAAAAAAATTTTTTTATAAAAAAATTGATCAAATTAGTGAATTACATAATTCACATATTCATACTGAATAATTCATTATAGTAGCCTTATTTATTTCTGTTTGTTCTAATCTGATCTGATTTTCACAAAATTTTTTTTGGCCAATCAAAAAACAGCGTAAATTGAACAGAAAAATTCGCGTTATGATCTATTTCATTCTGTTCCAATTTTTTTCTTTCTATAATTATGTCTAAAAAGGATATTGAATATACTTTAATGTTATTAACAATACAGGATTTAAATGACTCTTTTGACTCTTTTAATGATAATGAATTAAATAATAATACAGTCAACCCTTGTTATAACAAACCCTAGGTTCTAGACCTCAACTTCGCTATAGGGCTATAGTGAAGATTTTAAGAGATTTGATTGGTTAATTCGTTATAACAAGGGGAAATTTATTATAGTTGTCTGAAAAATTCACTATATCAAGGGTTTGTTATATCAAGGTTTGACTGTAATAATTTAATAAAAAAAATACTTCTTGCTTTATCCTCTTTACATTATCTTGTTCCTCAAAACTATATTCCTAAGTCTCAACATTGGTATTATAAAATCTTACCATTATATGATGATATACGATTTAAAAAAGTTTTACGAATGGAAAGATAACAGTTTAACAAGCTAATACAAGTTTTACAGAACGATACAGTTTTTCAAAATAAAGGAAATAAGCCATAGGTACCAGTTGAATTTTAATTAGTAATATTTCTTAGGCGTTTAAGTTCTAAAGATGATATTTTAAGTATTTGTTCTCAATTTGAAATATGTGAAGGTACTGTAATTCTTTATATTAACTGTGTAATAAAGGCTATTAGAAATAAAAAATTGGAGTTTGTTCAATTGCCTAAGAATAATAATAATCGTGCTATTGTTTATGCAGGATTTTAAGCTATTGGAGAGTTTCAAAATATTATTGGAGCAATAGATGGTACTCATTTTATTTTAAATGAAGCACCTGCACAAGATCTAACAGCACTTTTTACAAGAAAAAAAAGATACGTAATTCATTGTTAAGGAATTGTTGATTTTAAAGGAATTTTTATTAATTATATAATAGGATGGCCGGGATCAGTGCATGATGCACGAGCCTATGCTAATTCTGATTTTTTCTTAATAAAGCAAAATATATTGAAGGAGATGATTATGTGTTAGGTGATTCAGCATATCCGATCTCTTCCTTTTTAATTACTCCTTTTAAAAATCCATTTAATCATCGACAATGTCAATTTAACTTTATTTATTCAAAACATAGAGTTGTTGTAGAATATGCCTTTGGTAAATTAAAGGCTAAATTCAAAGCATTAAAAGAATTATCTGTAAAAGATATAAAGACAGCAATTAAATTAGCAGATTGTGCTATATTATTGTATAACTTTCTTGAAATTTGTAGGAAAATTTGGGAGATTAATGATCAAAATGATGATGATGATAATTATAATGATCAATATGATTGGGAAGATAAAAGTGATGAAATTTAAAATTAGAAGGCAAACTTAAAAGAAAAAGAATGTCATATGGGCCGATCCTTGGAATCTAATTTTTTTACACAAAAATAATTTTATTAAAGCAAATATAAATTATCATTTATATAAGAATAATAAATTTATACCAGATAATGCAAAAAAAACTAATTAATTATATAATTTTTAATTTTTTTTTAATATAAGATATCATTAAAATTTAAAAGATCAAATATAACTCTCATGACAAAATCATTGATAATTCTTCGTAGAAATAAGCTATACAAATAAATTTACATTCATTTGAAAGAGAAAATCGAGATCTATCTAATGAATCTAAAAACAAGTGAATTGAATCACTAGTTGTTCAGTAATCACGTTTAGTATATTATTGAATTTTATCTAAATTTGATCATTAATTACTTCACATATAGTGATTCAATTTGAATGATCTTTGCTCCCTAAGGTGATGCCAACTTTTATCTTTAAAATAAATTTAAAATAATTCGTTTAATATATGTAGATGTTTAGGAATCATCAATTATATTATTAATATAAAATTTTATAAGTTTGATAAAATCTGATATAAAAAAATTTATTAAATACCTGTAGATGCAAGCTACACGAATGAAATTATATTCATTTGAAAGAGAAAATTGAGGTCTATCTAATAAGCCTAAAATCGAATGAATTGAATCACTGGATTGTGAATAATTACGTCTAATATATTTATTTTTAATTTTTAAATTTGATTTGACTTTGATCGTTAATTACGCCTCATCCAGTGATCCAATTTTCCTGATCTTTGATTCTTACGATAGAGCAAATTCTCAGCTTTCAAATGAATGTAAAATGATGACGTTAGCATATCTCCAGGAATAATAATGCACGATTTTGTCACCTGCATAAAGTCCGATCTGAAAATTTTATTTCTTACCAAAAAATGCTTTCATAAGAGAATCCCAAATTCTTTTACTTTATTTAAAAGATTTTATTTGCCATTTAAGGATTTTAGTAGAATAAATCTAATGAAATAATTTTAAAAGATAAAAAACAAATATATAATTAGTTATTTTTAAAAAAAAAGAATATCTTATTATTCATTTTACAACTATTTTACATCATAATTATTTTTTATTTGCATGTATTTTTTACAAAGAAAAAACAATAAATTAAAGCTAAAAATTATGAAAAAATATGTCTTATCTATGTATATAAAATATTAAGTTTTTTCTTTTACTTACCACTTAAAAATAACTGCTATATTTGCTTATAAACTTTTTTGTCATATTTAATAAAAGTGAATAGAAAAATGATGGAAAAGTGATGGGAGTGATGGGGAAAAAGAAGTGGTTATTACCGTTATTTTTGAATATTGATTAAAAAAATTTTTTTATTTTTTATTAAATCTGAGTTACGTAAATATGTAACACATATTTAATTTAGATTTGTGTAATGTTAATCTTACAAATTTTTATAAAAATCTTAATTTAGACTAATTCCAAAAATCGGCACATATGCCATTGTATATAATATAGTAAAAGAAAAGAAAAGCAACTAAAAAAAAGGGAATACAGTTCCCCTTTGATATAACGAACCCTATGTTTTAACTGATCAAAGCTTCGTTATAAGCAAATTCGTTAATACTAGCCCTGTTCATTTCTGTTCTGTTCCGATCTGATCTGATTTTCACAAAATTTTTTAGCCAATCAAATTCATTTAAAAATTGGATCAATAACTGGATTAACGGATTAAAAAAATTGATGATCTAAGTGTTCTGAATACGCGTTTTTTACAGTCTCACGTTTAAATTTACTAATAATGACTTCAATAACTTCTAAAAATAAGAAAAAAGTTTTGTCAGCAAGCAATAAGGACGTTAATACAAACATAAAACTTCATGTTACTATACGTCTAGAATCAACCACATTAAAACAAAGTAATTTGCCCATTAAGGTGATTGCATCTGAATCAACTTTAACTCATAAAGAAATAACTCAAACAATTATTAACCTTTCTGATGACCTTACTGAACCTACTAAAGATGTTTGTATTTATATTTTTGTCTAGTATTAATTTTATTTACTTTATTTTAATATATTCTATTTACAAATAGCTGGACGCGAAAACTACCTAAGAAGAACCACAAAAAATTGAAGTTTCTATGGTAAAAATTTCAGTTTAATACACTTAATTAGATTTCTATAAATTAAGACTTACTTACTTTAGCTACCAATTAAAGGTACTAAATGTAAAAAGCAAGTTTTGAAAATAAAAGTTAAATCAAATGATGATGCTAAGTGGACAGATAGCGAAATTAAAATATTGCTTAAGTTTTGGAAAGAAAATTTGGAAGAATAGAAACAGGGAAAGGTGAAGGTTTATCAAAAAATTATAAGTAAAAATGTGTTACCAGGTCATACTCTTGATCAAATCAGAAATAAGGTTGGAAAATTGTGTGAAACATATTTGCAAAAAAAAAAAAAAGCTAATTCTACTAGTAAAGGTAATGTAGAATGGATTTAGTTCTTACAAATGGAAGAAATTTTGTCGCTATCAACCCAGATTATGTTACAGATTCAACTTCATATTTTCCTCCTATTTCTTATGGCGAAAATTCAGATAATAAAAAAAATTATAAAGCTAATGAAACACGAAAAAAGAAAAGAAAATCAACAGGAATTGAAGGTATATCTGGGGTAATTGCAGTAATGGGAGAATCAAGGGATAGGTTTTATGAAAAAAAACTAGACTTAAAGGAGCGTAAAAGTTAAAAGAAATTCGAATTGGAGGAAAAGAAATTAATTCAGCAATACGAGTTGAAAAAGAGTAAGTTGGAGATAGAAAGATTGCGTGCTGAAAATGAAAAAGTTAAATTAGAGTTGAAAATGTTGAAATTTCGCAAAAATAATAAATGAAAATTTTTTATTGATTTGAAGAACAGGACGGACATCTCCATATTATCATGATATTGCCGATCATTTTGCTGATCACTTGTCCAATATTATCATATAAAAAAATACCGTTGAATTAATTTTTTCACAAATTCTACATAATAATGTATAAAATTTCAATTTTATTTACTTTATTTTATTTATTGTTAATAAATTAGTTCTTAAAATGATTCATAAAGATTTTGTCAAATATTAGACATATATTAATTTTACAATAATTGTAAACATTTATTTAATGATAACTTTTGGGTTATCAAAAATTATTCAGGTTTATTTTAGTCACTAATTCTTGAATATCTAAATAGTATATTGTGAAAGTTTCAAGTTTGGTCCAAAGTTCTGTGGCTTAGCTTGAAGCTTCAAAGTCAAATTAGCAGATGATCAGCATATGGGCGGACTTATAGCAAAAGGTGGGGCTCGGACAATCACGTGATTTCAAAAAAAATTGAACTTTAATATTATTGGTTAATTTAATAAATTATAATTTATTCCATCATTTTTAAAGATTTTTAAAATCAATTTTTTGCAAACTAGAGTAAATTTTTGCAAGGAATTCATTAAAAGCATTAGTTTTTTTCTAAAGCATCTATATTATTTGTTAAATGCAATAATAGAAAAATACAAAATTTGCAAATTCTTAAATAAAAAAATTTTTTATTAATATATTATAAACAAAATTTTTTTTTTCTGAAAGGTTAAATAAAGTAATATATAATTAAAATAAAATTTCAAAAAAAAAATTTTGGCCAAGCCCCCCCTTTTGCTACAAGTCCGCCCATATATATGAATTATTGAAAATCTCAGCCTAAGGCTAAATTTGGAACCACATTTTATTTTGCCACAATACTTTTATATTTAATTATTGATAACCTAATTATTAAACAAAACAATTAAATATTATTTTTAGAACATTTATAGCTTGAGATAAGGCTTCAAAGTTAATGTGATATCACATTTATTATGATCGGCAAATGATCAACATGTGATATAGGGTATGTCCGTCCTGTTGATTTAAAGTTTACCTTACATAATTAAATATATTTATTAAATATAATATAAATATAAAATATTTTTTTTGTAAAATTTGTTTATTAATTACTTGTTATGCTACATATTAATTTAACATATGTGCCGATTTTTGGAATTAGTCTAAATTAAGATTTTTATAAAAATTTAATATTTTAGTAAGATTAACATTACACAAATCTAAATTAAATATGTGTTACATATTTACGTAACTCAGATTTATTAAAAAATAAAAAAAAATTTTTTAATCAATATTCAAAAATAACGGTAATAACCACTTCTTTTTCCCATCACTCCCATCACTTTTCCATCATTTTTCTATTCACTTTTATTAAATATGACAAAAAAGTTTATAAGCAAATATAGCAGTTATTTTTAAGTGGTAAGTAAAAGAAAAAACTTAATATTTTATATACATAGATAACTAGATAAGACATATTTTTTCATAATTTTTAGCTTTAATTTATTGTTTTTTCTTTGTAAAAAATACATGCAAGTAAAAAATAATTATGATGTAAAATAGTTGTAAAATGAATAATAAGATATTCTTTTTTTTTCAAAATAACTAATTATATATTTGTTTTTTATCTTTTAAAATTATTTTATTAGATTTATTCTACTAAAATCCTTAAATGGCAAATAAAATCTTTTAAATAAAGTAAAAGAATTTGGGATTCTCTTATGAAAGCATTTTTTGGTAAGAAATAAAATTTTCAGATCGGACTTTATGCAGGTGACAAAATCGTGCATTATTATTCCTGGAGATATGCTAACGTCATCATTTTACATTCATTTGAAAGCTGAGAATTTGCTCTATCGTAAGAATCAAAGATCAGGAAAATTGGATCACTGGATGAGGCGTAATTAACGATCAAAGTCAAATCAAATTTAAAAATTAAAAATAAATATATTAGACGTAATTATTCACAATCCAGTGATTCAATTCATTCGATTTTAGGCTTATTAGATAGACCTCAATTTTCTCTTTCAAATGAATATAATTTCATTCGTGTAGCTTGCATCTACAGGTATTTAATAAATTTTTTTATATCAGATTTTATCAAACTTATAAAATTTTATATTAATAATATAATTGATGATTCCTAAACATCTACATATATTAAACGAATTATTTTAAATTTATTTTAAAGATAAAAGTTGGCATCACCTTAGGGAGCAAAGATCATTCAAATTGAATCACTATATGTGAAGTAATTAATGATCAAATTTAGATAAAATTCAATAATATACTGAACGTGATTACTGAACAACTAGTGATTCAATTCACTTGATTTTAGATTCATTAGATAGATCTCGATTTTCTCTTTCAAATGAATGTAAATTTATTTGTATAGCTTATTTCTACGAAGAATTATCAATGATTTTGTCATGAGAGTTATATTTGATCTTTTAAATTTTAATGATATCTTATATTAAAAAAAAATTAAAAATTATATAATTAATTAGTTTTTTTTGCATTATCTGGTATAAATTTATTATTCTTATATAAATGATAATTTATATTTGCTTTAATAAAATTATTTTTGTGTAAAAAAATTAGATTCCAAGGATCGGCCCATATGGAATATGAAAACCCTAAAAATAATCCTATGGTTGAAGTGATAAAGATGATTCTATATTAGATAGTGACAAAGGTGAATATCATGATACTAAATTGATAATATAGAAATTACATTATGTTTTAGTATGCAATTTTAGTTATAGAACAAATTAGAAACTCACCTTAATATTTATGTTATTTAAGAAGGTTTTTTTTACAAAAAAACAAGGCTTGAATATTACATGAATTAAATAGAAATGGACAATTTTACAGATGAAAAACAAGTAGTACAGCTATTCTGATTTTTTGAGGAAATTAATAATATTTAAATTTTTTAATATCACATACTTTTAACAGCTTAAAACTAAATGAAACCAATCTTTTTTTTTTATGATGCTTATTTGATTAATCAAGAATATATAGAACAGGTATGAAATAATTGATTATTTAATGACATGATATTAAGATTAAGGTGTAGGATTAAGGTTAGGATTAGTTAAGGTTAGGATTAGAATGTAAAATTGTATAGGATTAGAGTGTAGAATTGTGTGGGATTAGAGTATGGAATTAAAATTAGAATTAGGGCTTAGAATTAGGGTTAGGCTTAGCATGTTTATTGTTGCTAACTTTATTTTAGAGGTTGGAACTGACCAAAAAAACCTTATTCGATTAATAATCGATTAGCCAAAGGCCCTAATCAATTAATAATCGATTAATATTAAAATATTAAAAATTTTTTTTTTTTGACTGCAGATTGCACCAAATTGTTTTTGATCATACATTTAGTTATAGGAAAGTCTTATTTATTATTATTATCATTAAAAAATTAATACAAATTCAGAGAACACGTGACCAAAAATTCACAGCTCTGGGCCGCATTAGATAATTTGACCAGAATTATAGGTTGATAATTTTAATCGATTAACTGATTTTTGAAATACCTTAATCGATTAACCTTAATCGATTCCAAACTCTACTTTATTTATTTTTTTTTTTAATTTTTGATTGATAGTTCAACTTGCAAAAATGGATTCTGGAAATATGATTATGAAATTAAACTAATTCTACTCAAAAAATTTGATTAAAAATATGCTATTAGATGCAAATTAAACCTGAATTATTACCAACACATTCACAGTTTATTATTTTATTATACCAGTGTAAATATCTGCTAAAACTATATCAAAGTAAAGGAGCATCACAAAAAATAATTAAAGAAAACAAAAAAAATCAAAATGTTAATATAAATGATAGCATTCTGAAAAAATTATGAAAGTGTAGAGGTTTTGTTATGATTTACGAAATTGCAAGGTTCTTAGCAAAAAAATTGATGTTATATTATATGTAGATAATTAATTTAGATGTTATAAATAAATTTTATGGTATATACCATATCAATAATAATATGGAGGTGTTATCACATGTGGGCAATTTTCTTTAAAAAATTTACTTTAATTTTAAGTTTTATTAATAGCATATTGGTGTATCAACTTTTTTGCACTGGACCATATTTTCTTAGATAGTTTAAATAATTCTGTATATTTTACTTTAAAATGTTAATTTAAAATTCCATATATTAAGATACACTTAAAACTTTTTACTATTTAAATATAAATATAGTAATTAGATTTATATTTTAAAGTAATTTATCTGTAGTAATATTTGGTTTCAAATACCAATAATTAAAAGAAATTATATAAAATATTGCAAATAGTAAATTTATACTAATATTAAAAAAAAAATGTTGGTAAATTAATCCTTTGTAATTCCTGTAATATATTATACCAAAGTTGAAGAATCAATTCAAATGGTATATTTTGTATTAATGATGCAAATAGAATTTGACATATATTATAAAAATATAGGGTGTAAGTTATTTATTTAATTCTATTATAATTAATAGTATTTTAAAAAGTTTAATAAAAAATTTAGGTTAGCATTATGGATTCGGCGGAATTAAGAAAATTTTGGCTAAAATTACAATTTAAAGGTGATTTTTAAGTTTTACTTATCCGATCTCTTAATTAATAAGCCAGCATATTTAAACTTGTTCCAATTAAAAATGTAAGATATTTTATAAAATATAAAAATTGGTTTGTAAATACCAGGTTAATTTCTTAATACTAGTTGAATAAAAAGTTCATTTATAATTTTCTTTTAAATATCTTTTCAGGTTTCAATTTTAAATTAAAATTATTACTTTAAGGCGCACCTAATTTCATCTCTTCTAATTAGTGCATTTATAAAAAGTAATGAAACTTAGCTATACTTGTTTATATATTTTCTTTTTTTTTTAAACAAAAAATTGCTTAATAATATAAGAATTGGATTGTTATAAACATTGATTCAGATCTAATATCATTAACATTTATTATTGTAGTAATTACTTTTTTTTTTTTAGATATTAACGCAAGTTTGTCACATTTAACGTGACATCTAAAATTAAGAAAAGTATATTAATTGGAAATATGAGAGATTCCATTAGTCTTTGATTTACTTTTTACTACGGATTTCCGTTCCGCAGAAGCCACCACAAATCCATGAAAAGGGGGCGAAGGTTTAAGGGGACGACTAAGATATTCAGGATGATATTGAGTAGCGACATAGAATGGGTGACCTAATAACATGTTAAATAAATAAATAAATATTGAAATCAAACAATATGTTTACAAAAATAAATGAAATAACTTACCCTTAAGCTCCATTATTTCCATCCTATTTCCAGTTGTATCGCGCCCTACAAAATGTAAACCTTTTTCTTCAAGTGTTTGCACGTACTTAGGGTTAACTTCATACCGATGTCGATGGCGTTCAGAAACATGATGGTCATCTCCGGAGATAAGTTCAGCACTCTCATAACATTTTCCTTAATAAACCATAAACAAAATTTCAATATCAGAAATTTATTTTTTGAATTTATGCTCTTAATGCTTACGTATTTTTGACCACGATTCTGTTCCGTCTTGGAAAATAGTGGGCCTTAATCCCAGTCTCATTGTTCCGCCAAGATGTGTCGTTGAAATTTCAGGCATATTAATAACGACCTGATGCTTCGCATTTTTGTCAAATTCTTCTGAATTAGCAGCTATCATTGTTGAATCACAAAATAAATTATTATATTCGCAGTATGCTGTATAAAATAATTATAATATACCTTCGAGACCACAAACATTGCGAGCAAATTCGATTACAGCTACCTGTAACCCTAGACAAATTCCTAAGCAGAGTAAGAGCAAACATTTTTACGAAATCAATTAATAAGTTTTTTTTTTTTTAACGAAAAGTCAAATTAATAAATATACCTAAATATGGAACTTTATTTTCACGTGCAAATTTTGCTGCGGCAATTTTGCCTTCTGTGCCACGAAATCCAAATCCTCCTGGAACTAAAATACCGTTAGCAGACCTTAAATTTTCCCATGATTCACGGTACTTTTCCGGATTTTCTTTTTCGTATTCTGCTTCTAAATATGAAGCTTCAACCCACTATTCAAATTAAAGAAATATGATATTTTACGAATTAGTATATTATTTATGCACTTATTTAAGAATACAAACATAATCTTACATACTTTAAGATCTATCTTACGTTCACAGTTTAATCCAGAATGTTCAAGTGACTTTTTGACAGAAAGATATGAATCCTGAAGATTTGTATATTTCCCTACCAAGACAATTACAACGGGATGTAAAAAACGATCATGACTAAAAGAAATCAATTTGATTAAATGTTTAATCGATAATATAGCATCCATAATCCTACAAAATTGCGTACTCTTCTGTTAATTTTGTCCATTGCTTCAATAAATTTTCTCCTTTTTCGACTTGAGTTTTAGAAATCAGGATTTTATCCAACTTGAGTCTATTTATTAGAAAATCTAAAACGCCTTGTTCTTTTAATAAGAGAGGAACATGATAGGTCGAGGAGACGTCTCGAACAGAAATTACCTTAAGATGGATCAAAATTAATCAATAGACTTCAATATGAAAAATTATATCACCACATTATTTTATTTATTTTAACACATACTTGTTCTATTCCAACATGACAAAACATTGAAATTTTATTTTGAACTTCAACTTCTAATTTTTGGGAGCAACGACATGCGATCTGAAAGAAAATTGAATTTTTATTATCGAAAAGAAGTCAAAATACTAATAAATAATATTAAGTCACAAATTTACCAAGTCGGGTGATAATCCTAAAGCTCTCAATTCTCTTACGGTAGCTTGAGTTGGTTTAGTTTTTTGTTCACCTACAGGACCAATAATTGGAACAAGTGCCACGTGACCTAGTGCAAAATTTTCTGATCCAACTCGAAATTGAAATTGGCGCATTGCTTCAATAAATGGGGCGGATTCTATATCACCGACAGTGCCGCCCAACTTAAGGTTTCACGATGATATCTTTATTTAAAATTAATTTAGAATAAAAACAATAAAAGATTGCAGCTATACCTCAATAATGCAAACGTCAGGTTTTTCACCACTTTCATCAACAGGTATTGATGCTACTCGTTCAATCCAATTTTGCATTGCATCAGTTATGTGAGGAACCTAAAATAGGTCGATCGGATCAATAAAATTTATTTTTTTAATGATAAATGATGAAATATTATATAACATTATACCACTTGTACAGTCTTGCCCAGATATTCACCTTTTCGCTAATTGGATAAAAAAAATAGTAAATTAGGAAAATGAACATGCTTGAAAAAGATAATACAATCAATTTATTTGATTTTAGGTATAACCTCCTTATTGATAACTTCTTGATAAATCTTGCCGGTTGTGATGTTATTATCTTTCGTAAGAGTTATATCGAGAAAACGTTCATAGTTTCCTAAGTCAAGATCGACTTCCCCGCCATCATTTAATACAAAAACTTCACCTATTGGATAAGGAATGATTAAAATATACCGATTTATATCCATGACTTTCATGAAAGTAAACAAACCATGTTCAAAAGGACTCATAGTTCCCGCGTCGATGTTCATATAAGGATCGATTTTTATAGCAGTAACCCTTAACCCGATAGTTTTTAATAAGAGACCCAAAGAAGAAGCAAATATTCCTTTCCCAATACCCGAAATAACACCTCCGGATATCAAGATATACTTTATTTTCTTATCAAGGTTTCCCATGTTTGATATAAACACAAGGTAATGATATTCGTAGGTTTATAAACAAAGTAAAGAAGAGCAAATACGAAAGAAAGACACTTGAATATTAAGAGGAGAGAAAAAAAATTTTTTTTATTTAATGTTTTGGGCCCAGTTTGTCATCACGACAACTGGGAAAGAAACCAGATCTTCATAAAAAAATTTTCATTATATACTTTAAAAAATTTTTTTTTTGTGATACGACAATGCACGACTCATTACATCATCATTACTGTAAACGCGCATTAATAAATGAGCATAATTTCCTATTTTCTTGTTATTTGTCACGTGATAGATTTTTAAACAAGTACAGTATTAGTAGTATGATTATATATTAAATGAAAATAATTCATGATTAATTATAAAATAAAATAAAATAAGGTGGTATTATGTTTTTATTTAATTTAAAAGTAAAAATGTAATTACTTTATAAATAGTATACAAGATTGATAAATAAAAGCATGAAACTATATAAAACAAACTACCTTTATAAAATAAGGATTAACCAGTTATTATATTAAAAAAATCTTATGTTTATTAAATTAAAATTTAGTTAAAATAAATAATAATAAGTATAATAATATAAAACTTTTTTAAAAAAAATATTTATTAAAATAAAAAAAAGTTCACATTTATTTTATATTAAAGAATCTTGTTTAAAAACTTTCATATTTATTTATTTTAAAAAAATATCTTTGTATTTAAAATTTCATATTTACTTATTAAAAAAAAATTTTTGTACTGTCAGTATTTATTTGTTAAAATATATATAAAAAATATTACTTTTTATAAAAAAGAGTTTTGCTAACTTGCCCTTTGGGTTAAATAACTTGGGTTAAATTACCTTCCTAAAATTTATAATTTATATTAATATTTTTTTTTAAAAAAAAATTATTCATGTTATTATTTATTTCACTTTATATAGATTTTATTTTATTTGAATATTATAGAATATAATAACTAATTTTTCTTATATTTTTAATAATGTTTCTCATTTTTTATTGTAATTATAATTTACATTTTTTTTTTGAAAATTTGGGTAAAATAGGACCCCAGAT